AAGGTTCCTTAGACGTCGTTTCCTGCAAATGACACGATTTCGGCCCCGGAACCGGGTCCTTGGGGCTTAAGAGGATTAAAAACAGTACAACTAAAATTCTTGTTTCAAAATTCAACTAAATGGAAGCTTTAAGATTCACTAGAACCAACATTTTATGTGTTCAGCACAATATAAAGCTCATTTTTTATTTAACGAGTTCACAAAATACTGAGCAATTTGCTGGCAATCAAGCAAGAGTTCTTGTTAGTTCAGATTTTTCAATATCATTTTCCTTCTACATGTCTGCCTTGTTTCTATTTTTGATTACATTGTTTCAGTGTTGAAGAACACAGCTGTGATAGCCATCAAATATTATAGCCAAAAGCACAATAACTTATTTCACCAGGTACAACAACATAATTTACGCAGCTATTTCTTTCTTTCTTTGCCAATTTACAGAGACAGCAGCAACTGTGTTTTCTGCGAAAGTAAAATTATTGTTTTTGGATAAGGAGTATGGCGGTGTTGCAGAGACAATAATTGCCTTTAATGACTTTAGGTCCTTTTTACAAAAGGGTTGCATGATGGCAAGGTAGAGTGTATGTTCTAAATATACTTTACACTAAAACTGATATGGGTTATTTTAGGAGGGCCTTTAAAACGATAAAACAAAAAAAATTAAATAAATGGAAGAGTCTTTATTTCTGCCAGTCTTATTTCTTCAACTTCAAAAGATGCTAACATGACGCTTAAAAATATCGAGTTAGTGAAATAAAGCTTTCTATTTTCCTTAAAAGCAGTCTTTTTAGCATTAAGATAATGATGAGTGTGATCAGTAAACCTTTTAAATCCCTCATTTAAGATTGTTTTCTTTTGAATAGTGATTATGCTCTATAATTGCTGGCATGCATTATCCTGTTGACAAAGGTTAACTGAGTCGAATGCTTTAACTTGTCAATCATATTCCCTTCAGACAGCCATGTGGTACACCCAGCTGCATTTCGAATGGCTCACAAAGAAAGGGGTGGGAAATAAATGTCATGTCTCTCACTCAACTGCTCAATTCAAGGCACTGCACTCTTGATGTTTTGGTTTTTTGTTGCTCTAAAGAAAGAGATGTATAAGATGATCCCAGAGGCGAGAGCTGCTTCCACAGTGAATGCCACATTTGTTCGCCCTGCTAAGTTTTATCTCAGCGGGTTTTCCAACATGCCTCATGTTAAATATTACTATGTGTTCCTGTGTTTTGTCTACATTGTGACTGTTCTTGGGAATAGCATTCTTCTCTCAGTTATTTACTATGTCAAGACTCTGCATACTCCCAAATACATGGTTGTGTTTTACCTGGCTTTGACAGATATTTGTGGGAGCACAGCTCTCATCCCAAAGGTCTTAGATACTTTTTTGTTTGAAAGGAGATACATTGTCTATGAAGCTTGCCTAAGTTATATGTTCTTTGTTTTATTCTTTTTATCTGTACAGTCATGGACACTTACCACAATGGCATATGACAGATTTATAGCAATTTGCTTCCCTTTAAGGTACCACAGTATTGTGACGACCCCGTCTATCGCTGCATTGTTGCTGTTTTCGTGGGTTACTTTATTTAGTTTAGTAGGATTTACTGTTGGAAATATTGATAATCTCTCCTTCTGTGACTCTTTGGTGGTAAACAGCTTTTTCTGTGATCATTCACCAGTATATCGTCTGTCCTGCAATGACTCGTCTATAAATTACATTATGGCATATGTAGCTCTCATTATAATCCTCTGTATTCCTCTTATATTGATAACGTTATCCTATGTTGGCATTTCAATAGCACTGGGCAGGATTGCATCAGGAGAGGAACGACTCAAAGCCTCTAAAACTTGTACCTCTCACCTGATTCTTGTGGCAATTTTCTTCCTACCAATTATTGGCACCAACATAGCGTCAGTAGTCTCTTACATAAACCCTAATGCCAGAATGATAAACACATCTTTGACAAACACCATGCCACCTTTGCTCAATCCTATTGTATACTCTTTAAAGACAGAGGAAATTCTGATTGCTATCAAGAAGCTTGTCAAAAGAAATAAGATTAGCTTCAGTGCCAAGAAAAGGTTGAAATCTTAAACACTGCTTGCTATTTAACATGAAAAGGTTGCATTATATATGACTACAGTGGCAATATTGTATAATCTAGTATCAAAAAGGAAACATAAGTATCTCATGAATTGTTGCTGTGCTTATTAAACATGGTACAACATGTCAACATCGGTTTTGCATGATTGAATTGACACGTTTTTTGTATGTGTTAGTAGTTAGTTAGTAGGTCTTAGTAAGTTGGGGTTCTCAAACAGAGATACTGTATTTAGGTCAGTTTACACATACATTAGTATAGACATTAGTTAAGTAGTCTCTACTAAATATTATTCATTTATTGTCTCAATTGTGAGGATTTTATGTTTTACTTTTCATATATCATAATAAACCAATTATATTTGGGTTTTGAACTGTTGTTTTAATAAACTTCCAAAATTGAATGCATCTCCACAAGCTGCTTTGTGTGTTTTAAACTATGTTTTGGCATATGGGTTATGTGTAAATTGAGAATATAATTGGGAGAAGATCATGATAGTATATCCAGGTTGCTGAAACCATGATGTGGTGTACATGTGTGACTCACAAAGGGGATCCAACACAGGGATATTTGTCCCAATTAATGAGCACACAAAGATGAAGTACATTATGTTTTGTTTACTTACGTTTTAACATCTTGTTATTAGGTTGGAGCTTTTATACAGACACATTTGTTGAGTTTTAGTATCCCAAATGTGTCTCGTATTTTGATTTAAATCAGTTACAGTAAGTAGTCGATTCATGACCTTATGATTGACAGAAATGATACATATCTTGTACCTGCTAATACATTGTGACATCTCAAAAATAAGGTTTACAGATCCAAGATAGTTTTATTATTTAACACTTACTGTACGCCTAAAATCTGAGATTCATGAACTAAGTGTATCTTTAAAGTTGAATACAATCTGATCCGTCAGTCAGATTTAAATTCACATGTTAGCATGCAGTTTTAGGAACAAACATAGTAGACCATATTGGGCTGTGACACAACTATATGTGACATTAATAACTGAGTGTGATTCATGGTATGGCTTGCACTGCACACACAAACCCACAAGAGGGCAGGCACTCGTCATATTACTACTTCACTACTCTTCACTATTTCGTTCATGATTCTAAAGTACAGTGTCAGCTATTGTTGTAATGTATCATAATTTGATCTTTGTCAGAGAGTATTTCATAAAAACAGTATCTTTAACCAGATTTCAGAAGAGGTATTTAATATAGTATATGATGGAACATTATCCATTATTAATATATAGTACATTTTCTATGTATTATCCCTTTCAGCAGGTTGTGAAAATGTCGTAGTAGAATATAAATGTTTATTTAAACACCACATCTGTTCAAATATTACAATGCTTTAGGTTAATATATACAGTAGAAAATACTTGTTACCTCAGATAATCTAAATTCTAGTTTATATCTGTTCTTTTATACCATATTCAAAACTTCAAGTCTTAAATTGATCCAATAACCAACCTATCATGTGGGAACATGGTTTTGTGACACTTTTAATTTCTCCAACCACTTCCAGAGGTCTTTTTGATCTCTTTGGTTTAAAAATATATGGTAGGATTGTTGCAGATCAAATTATCTTTTTTAACATCTACCTGATCTTCGTTGAATTAAACAATAATAGTTCATATGCATATATATGCCAATATATGCATAATGAACAGGATCATGCTGTTGCATTTAACTAAATAAGTACACTTTGATAAAACTTAACACTTATGTTGCTTTTGATGTGTACCCCTCTGTAATAATGAGATCACTTGTAATCGTAGTTATATATGAGTGTAGCTTTCAACCTACACTAACCCCACACACCAACAACCCAAATGTAACCTAAACCTTTGAAACTAAGTAATAACTAATAAGGACTTTGAGTTTGCCTGAAACACTGAAACTGTTAAAATCAGAAAATATAGCCAGGTTAAGTCCTATGATACAATTAACATTACTAATTTCAGTACTGCATAAATCAGAGCTCAGTCGGAGAGCATACTGTATAGCGCCTCAACCTGATGACTCTGACCTCTTATGACAACATGGCAGACAAAATGTATCTTGCCTTAACGTTAGTTAGGTTAACTCACATTGCAGATATTGACTATTAGGCCACAGTAAACTAGCATTAACATTTTGTTAATTTTGCTGTAAGGAAGAGAAGAATGAACAGTGCAGTATGACAACTTGCTTATTGCAGAGTTAATTCCCTGAGGATGGATTACCCGATCAACAGGCCGCAGTTAGCCTTAAATAAAATGTGAATGTTTTTAAATTTGTGATGACATTACCAGAGTGGTAGTTAATCACTTTACCAACACGGTTCGCTTGTTTAACTTCATCCTAATTAATCTCAGTTGCACCTATAAAGAATGAACAATTCAAACTTGAGGAAATAGGTAATGTCCCTTTCATTTCTATTAAAGTGCAGTGTCTTTACGAAGGGCAACAAGAAATATGTGTAGTTTTAGCTCACATTTTTATTAGTAACAGTACAGGTGAAAATGAATTGCTACAGCTATTGATTGAATTTATTTTTTCAAATTAACGGACCACACAGGTATTAAAAGTACAGACATTTATTGCATGAAATATAAATGAGTAAATGAAAAACATTTAAAGTAAAATTAGTATATATTTTAGGTTGGGCCCAATGTAAAAATTATTTCAAAGTATTTGTATTGAATAATATTGAACTTATATTTTGATAACTAAAGTGTTAGAAAGGTAGAGGCCAGATTGTTAAAGCTGGAAATTAAAATAATGTGTGTCAATTTAATTGTTTAAACTCTGGTGCCAACGCTCTCAGGTATTAAAATTGAGTCCCAGGTCTAGAATTGACAAGCTTCTACCGAGACATTTGATCACCTTTCTAAGGTTTGCTCTTACGTTGGTCTGTGCCTAATTTTAATTTTACTTACCAATGCCACAACTCTGATTTTGATCTCTTTGGTTTTCAAAGAATATATGAGAGGATTGACACAAGGTGGGATGCAAGAGGCCAACGACAGACTCAGCACACGCTGGTCTGGGTCGATCAGACCCAGATAAAACCCGACGCAAAATATGGTAAGAATAGGAATGTAAAACACAGCAACAAGGATGATATGCTCCACACAAGTGGCCAGAGCTTTCACCCGACTGTCTAAAGATTTCATCATGAATACAGTCGCCAGAATGCAAATATAAGACAGGATAATATAAGCAAAGGGTACTGCAAGGAGCAAAACAGAAAGGAACGAAGCTGAAGCCCACTGCAGTGAATAATCGTTACAGGCGAGTCTGAACACAGGCGCATAGTCACAGAAATAGCTAAACACTCTGACAGAATTACAAAAAGACAGTCGAGACATTAGACTTGTTGCAAATAATGTTACTCCCAGACCAAAAAACCAAGTCACGCCGACAATCCATGACATGCTCTGCATTGTGTTGATGGAGTTGTGACGCAAAGGGAAACATATTGCAATCAACCT